ATATAAACTTAAAAATCCTGGGAGGCAGCCGCTGCTGCGTCCGACGAGGGCTGCCCAGGGCCAGCCCCTAACGTCAGCTGCGGTGAATCCGCGCGGGTCAAGACGCAGAAGTCAGGATTACCTTCTGTGCTCGTGGTTCGGCTGCACAACTCTCCCGACTCTCCCCATTTTCGCCATGGCCTCCTAGTAAGAGACAAACACAAACTGCAAAAGCCTGTTTTGATTTAAAATACTTTTGGACAAGAACAAGATGTTTGCACACCAGTCGGACATCACTGATGGGTTTTGTTTCAGCCGAACAGCCCAGATGGCGTAAAACATGTTCAATCGCGTTATACAGCCGTCAGGAGAACAAAGTACTGCAGGCCCCTCAGCGAACCAAAACCTGTTCCTCTTTCTCACCGGGAGTCCGAGGCAGAGCAGACTCCTCTGCTGGGACTTACGCTCACCAAAGGAAATGTTAAACACCGCACCCCCGGCGGGGAGATGTCTCCAGTAAAACGATACTCTGCGTCAGATCCCTTCATCATCTTCTTGAAGCATCAATCCCCTGCAGCAAGGGAGGGCTCGAGTGCTCTCCAGAGGCTAAAGGGCACTTGTTCAGTTGTGTTGCGGAGCCCACAGCTGCCCTCGCGTTCCAGTACAAAGGTGGAAGGGACAGATGCTGATCCTGCTCCGCTTTCGGCCGAAACGAAGCCAGAGAGATCTCACAGAATCCTGTGCAGAAGGGGTCTCTGGGACAGTCTCACGTGGACGGGAAGAAGACCAAATAATTTGGTTCCTTTCCTGATCTCTGTGAGATTCTGATTTTCTGTGGGTTCTCCTGAGCAGTCCCACTGGAATGAGACACTGATCACCGATGTTAACAGAGGATCAAGCTCTCAGGCAAGGGTGGAGGCAGCAGGCACAGGCTATTTTCAGTGGAAGTCGTTTCCCAAGGAGCATTATAGCAACAGCTTTCAGATGGAACAGTGTTAAACATAAAAGATCAGGATCCAAGAATCAGTGTCTGACTACATCTCTGATCAGTGCACGCAGTTTCTAAGCAGGACCCTGAATCTGCTGTAATGTCAGTGCCTCAAGCACAGCACTGTGAGAGTGTCGGAATGACCCCCGGGGAACAGTCTGCCTGCGCGGCTGCTGGAAGCCCTCCGGTGAAATCCTATGGCCAGATTTTTCAAAGGGTTGGAGGATTTTATAGGCTGTAATATCTGCTGTAATAAAATCTTTGCCTCCCGCTAATCCAGCATTTTACAGCCAAGGATCTCCTAGAACTTCACAGCGCGGATGAGCAATGCAAGCAGGGTTTCGCCAGCCCAGGACAGGCAGGGAGGCTCTGAGGATCAGCACGATGACCAGCAGACCTTCCATCTTCTGGTTTCCCATTTCCCCTGTGTTAAAGAAACACGATCTTGGCCTGAATGGCGGGATGTAAGCATGCTGCCCGTGAAGCCAGCAGATTCTCCTTCTCCCGTGCACGGCAGTGTTTGCTCAGCTGGGCGTGGAGTGC